TTAGAGCAACAAAATAATAAAATCGGTATTAACCAAAACTCGGAATCGGCAGGTCAGACTTTTTAAAGATCGGTGATCGGGAATCGGCCAGAAAACTGCAATCGGTGCACCCCTAGTCGTTATATTGAAGGTAAACTAAGCAGTGACTCTAACAATATTCATGTTGACTAGTGCTAAAAAAGACCCTAATGAGCCCTGTAAGTATTAAATGTTAAACTGTACATCTTTTAATTGTTCGTTTAATTTTAAAAACCTCGATTAACCCCGCAATTAATAAAAAAAAGGAAGTTAGATATAAACGCCAGGTCAAACTGTTGGCAGTGAACTCTGAAAGCTCCAACATACTAGAATAATCTTTCCCATTTGACCAGACCAAATTATGAAAAAAATAAATAAATAAATTAAACGACTACTTTTTTCAAAATTCTTATTTAAATTTTTCTATTAAAGAAAAAAGCAGAACTGCAGTCATTGTCACAGATCCGTGCCTGCTGCTCAAAATAAAAATCATGCGCCACACGTTACAACCAACCTGCGCACAATGTCCTTAACATAGAGGTCAGGGATTCTAATACAATATATAATAAAAAAGATGACTAATAAAAATAAAATAGAACCACAACAAGACAGTGGAACAGTTTATAACTGGGTGAGGCTGCAGAACGGTGATTCTCAGAGAGGTTTTTCCTTTAAGCAACTGGCAGAAACATCCCAGGAAATCCATTCCAGTGCAATTATAACATCACTGTGCACATTTGAATATTTCAAAAAAAACTATTACGAATGGTTGTCATCACAATTTGTCATAAATTCACATATTGCATGTTGATAACATATTTGGTTGAATAAACTCTTGTCGATATTTTGCATGTTCTTTCTCAGTCCTGTGATTACTGTTAATAAAGACCACTAGTACCATAAAGTTTTGTTTTAAAATCAATAAATCTTTGGAAAAAAGTTATCCCACTATGAATAATTTATGAACCTTAGCCTCTGTTGTTATTTAGTAAATTTTGCATGTTTTACAGTGTAGCTCTAATCCACACAGAATGGCCTCAGCTTCTAATGTAAGTAATGATCACTGTAAGAGTCCTAGAAAATTATGTTTTATCTTTGCTTCTTATATATTCTTAGAGCATTAGTAAAAGTTTTGAGACAATTGAAATAGACCACTGACACCAAAATCTTGCATGATAGAATGAAACAGTGTTGAAAGATTATTTTCAGGAATTTCTCACCTGTAATACTTCGTAGATGGCTTTCTTGTACATAGGTTGTTTGTTATAGGTTGGTTGGTGAAAGGCATTGCTAAATGAACTTAAAGGGAGAAGCTTCTCTACACAAACCTGTAAAAAATACACAAAAATTGATCCAAATATTTTTTGACTTTGCATAACACATAGATTTTAAACGAGCAACATGAGGCACAAATAATAGCTCACTTTAAACCTTGTGGTTATCACTTAATCCAAGGTTGTTTTCAAAAGGCCAAAAGAAAAATCACCTGCCAGTAATGTTGCTGTTTGCTATGAAAACTCACCACTGAGAATTTTCCGTCTCCAAACCACATAACCCATCTGGTTCCCTCAGCGGCTCTGCTCCGGCCCGTCATCCACCAGGATACGATGCGGCCTGGCCACCAAGAAAATCCTCGCAGCTTTCCCCAAACCAGGTCGCCGATGCCAAAACCACGGCCGTCCTGCCGCCAAAAGACAACACAAATCATCCACTCTGTATTAACTTCTGAGCCTGTTTATGAAGCCTTTCCAAACAGCTTAGATCTCAATGTTTTTCTCCTTTAAAAAAAAGAACACTGTTACATAAAATAAAAAGAAGAATTAACAAAATAAATTTGATTAAAAAGATGAAAACATTAATATATTAGTAAACTGAGACATCATACAGTCTATTTTAAAGTCTATATTCAAAGAACTTTTTAAAAATGCAGTAAAGCAAAATCTTTAGCTACATAAAAACCCTTTATTGAACACACAGGGATTAATTTAAAAGGATAGCCACAAAAGAAAACAGCTACAAGAATAAAAACATATGTTCCAAGCACCAGGCATTAGGTAGTAAAAGAGTAAAGGCAAAAATGCAAGTGATTAACTTCAGTTTATAAAAAGAAATAATCTTAAATGCTATGGCTTGTTTTAATTTAATTGATAACGCTTCATTAATCCACAAAATAATAGTAAACCGCCAAACGTCTATGGATCAAACAGTCTCCCAGATTCACTTATTAAAGAAACAAAAAAACAGTTTAGTTGTAAATCAATTAGGGCTGCAACTAACGATTATTAAGCAAATCTTTCAATTTATTTTTTAAATTGATCTGATAGCAAAAGGTTTCTTGAAGAACAGTTTTTACGAAAAGAAACAAGGTGAAACTAAAACTTTTCCACTTCAGGAGTTCTGGATAGTACGGAAGAGGATTAGGGCCACTAAAAAAAAAAAAAAA